TAAAAATAATATTATCTTTAATTACGTGCAGATATTTTTTATTTCACACGTAGTTAAAAATAAATTTCACACAAGTCACAAAAGAAATAAATTGCACGCAACTAATGCCTTCACCAAAGGTAGGTTGCACCTTGGTGTGTTTGGATAATAGATATAATTCATTTCCATATGTTGTGAGTCTAAAATCTAAATATTGAGTTATAGTGATATTTATAACTTGCTAAAGTAGCAGCTTGTTAAAAAGATGGTTATATATCTATCCCCACAAACTTGTTATATATTGATACACTCCATTTGCTCTTAATTAGATACAAATATTTTCGGTTAATTTATTAAGATTAAAAAATTGTTTAGTATTGATATATCGCTATTTTATAATTACTCTTATCATTCAATGAAGCATCATAGTGACTTTTCACCAAAAATAATTTAAACATTAATTAGGGATATATTGGTGAAAAATACTTTTAATGCATGAGAGAAAATGGATAGGTCATGCCATATCAAGGGACAAATTATAGTGCAACAAAAATTGGGTATGCACTGCCTTTGATTCTTAATATAAAATCTAGTTGACTAATTTAAAGATATTAAAACAATTAGTTAAATTAATTATTTGTAATAAATAAGTTTTGTCTTTCCTAAAATACCCTTACTAATAAGGTGTACTAACTAGAATTATCATTTGATGAAACTTTTAACATATGTAACCTACAAGGACTACTTTGAAAAAAATAGATAAACATGAAAGATAAAATAGATTGAGATCTTATATTTAGAACCAAATTGAAAGTTAAACAATTCTTATATTAAAGACCGGACGTAGTATATTGTATAATCTTATAATTGAGAATGAGCTGCACTATTTGCAATTCTCATATGATTTTTGGGTTAAATAACTTACATACAACATGATTTATTATAAATTTTACACTATATTATGTTGTTTAATATGTTTTGTTTCAACAAAATAATCAATAAAAATAAACTATAAAAACACATAAAAAATAGGAAAAATTGCAAATAAAGACCCCTCAATATATAAAATAGCAATCAGGGACCCTGAATTTGAGAAATTGCTCACAAGGACCCGGTCCCATTTGCAATTAGGAAATCATAGTCAAATTACCAAAATACCCCCTCTTTAATTTTTTTTCAAAAAGAACATCACTGCCTTGCCGGAATCCGGCCGCCGGAGCTCGATGTCGGCGGCCTTCCTTTATTTTTTTTTTGAAACTGTTTTTTTTTTTTAAATTGGGGGGAAGTGAGGTTGGGGGGATTTGATCCCCCAACCTCATGCTTCCCAAAATTAAGAATGACCATTGAGCCAACAAATTTTTGCTAACATTATAATACAAAAAAAAATATAAGTTAACTCATTTACTCTTGTTCCAGGTGATAATAAGAATACATTTGAAAATAACAAGTTCTGATTATAAATAACAAGTCTGGATTAAAATTTAACAACACGTTTTTTTTATAACAACACACTCTGTTTCAGGTGATAACAACAATACATTTGGAAATAACAATTCTGATATATAAAATAACAAGTCTGGGATTAAAATTTAACAACACGTTTTTTTTTATAACAACACACTCTGTTGCAGGTGATAACAACAATACATTTGAAAATAACACGTTCTGATTATAAAATAACAAGTCTGGGATTAAAATTTAACAACACGTTTTTTTTATAACCAACACACTCTTTTTCAGGTGATAACAACAATACATTTGGAAATAATAGGTTCTGATTATAAAATACAAGTATGGAATTAAATTTAAGAGCACCTTTTTTTTTATTAACAACATATTTTATTCCAAGTGATAACAACAATACATTTGAAAATAACAAGTTCTGATTATAAAATAAGAAATCTAAATTAAAATTAACAACATTTTTTTTATAACAATTAATTATTTTATACTTTTGAAAAATAAATTATTTATAACTTATAAAAAGTATTTTAAATCTATTTAATTTGCTAAAAAAATAATTTTTATCTCCAATTTATAATCAAAACTTGAAGTGTAATTTATTATAGATTAAAAATACTTTTTTATTGTTCAAATTTATAAATAAAATTTAGGGAAAATGACAACACACTTTTTTAATTTTTTTTAAAAATTTTTAATCTATATATCTATACAACTCATTATAAATCAAACTACTTCTTATAAATTATAAATAGTACAATTTATTGTAGATTAAAAATACTTTTTGATTGCTTAAATTTATAAATGAAATTTATCTCTAATTTATAATTAAAAATAAATTTTTTTCTTTAAATATAAAAACTATTTTTAATATTTAAAGAATGAAATAATAAATTATACTATACTATTTAAATACTTAATAATAAATTTTAATATTTAAAGAATGAAATAATATAAAAATATTATAATGAGTTGTATAGATATATAGATTAAAAATTTTTTTTAAAAAAATAAAAAAGTGTGTTGTCATTTTCTCTAAATTTTATTTATAAATTTGAACAATAAAAAAGTATTTTTAATCTATAATAAATTACACTTCAAGTTTTGATTATAAATTGGAGATAAAAATTATTTTTTTAGCAAATTAAATAGATTTAAAATACTTTTTATAAGTTATAAATAATTTATTTTTTAAAAGTATAAAATAATTAATTGTTATAAAAAAATGTGTTGTTAAATTTTAATTTTAGATTTCTTATTTTATAATCAGAACTTGTTATTTTCAAATGTATTGTTCTTATCACTTGGAATAAAATGTGTTGTTATATAAAAAAAAAGGTGCTCTTAAATTTTAATTCAAGACTTGTTATTTTATATCAGAACCTGTATTTCCAAATGTATTGTTGTTATCACCTGAAAAAGAGTGTGTTGTTATAAAAAAAAACGTGTTGTAAATTTAATCCCAGACTTGTTATTTTATAATCAGAACTTGTTATTTTCAAATGTATTGTTGTTATCACCTGCAACAGAGTGTGTTGTTATAAAAAAAAAACGTGTTGTTAATTTTAATCCCAGACTTGTTATTTTATAATCAGAACTTGTTATTTCTAAATGTATTGTTGTTATCACCTGAAACAGAGTGTGTTGTTATAAAAAAAACGTGTTGTTAAATTTTAATCCCAGACTTGTTATTTTATAATCAGAACTTGTTATTTTTAAATGTATTCTTGTTATCACCTGGAACAAGAGTAAATGAGTTAACTTTTTTTTTTTTTTGTATTATAATGTTAGCAAAAATTGTTGGCTCAATGGTCATTCCTAATTTTGGGAAGCATGAGGTTGGGGGATCAAATCCCCCAACCTCACTTCCCCCCAATTTAAAAAAAAAACAGTTTCAAAAAAATAATAAAGGAAGGCCGCCGGCATCGGAGCTCCGGCGGCCGGATTCCGGCGAGGCAGTGGTGTTCTTTTTTGAAAAAAAAAAATTAAAGAGGGGTATTTTTGTAATTTGGCCATGATTTCATAATTGCAAATTGGGACTGGGTCCTTATGAGCAATTTTTCAAATTCAGGGTCCCTGATTGCTATTTTATATATTGAGGGGTCTTTATTTGCAATTTTCCTAAAAATAGTGCTCTTTATCTTAAATTTTGCAAAGTTTCTCCATGTGTGTTCACTCACTTAGTAGCCAATAAAGGTAGTTAATATTTAAAAAAAAGTGATTTTTTTAGAATAAAAATTAAATATATTACTCAATTATTTAATTTTATTGATAGAAAATAAAACATTATAATGAAAGGACACGTCTCAATACACACATATCTGGGCCATATAAATATCCCTGGGAAGCATGGATGAGGTACAAACTTTTTCACCACAAGTTTCGGAAGAAAAAGAAAAAGGTGATGAAAGAATTGTTGATGTAAAATTAAAGCACAACAATTTTAGCAAGGCCATGGGTGGAAGGACATTTCCTAAATTAAGCAAGGTCCCATTTAGTAATGGTGAGGGAATGAGAATTATTCTGATAAAACATATTCTTTTACATATTATTATTAAATTATATGAAATCTAAAAATTATAACAATCACATGTAATTGTTTTAGTACGTACAAGCTAGCTAGGGGGCAGAATCTATAGACAACAAATAATTATCTCCCTCGGGGCAATGTTGAGAACATATTAATGATAGATCTGTTTCAATTAAGTTGCTACAATGGCAAAACTTGAGATTTAAATTTCCAGTCATATATTTAAGTGACGAAAATATCTATTACTCAATGTCAAAACAACTTGAGTTGATAAAATTGCTTTCATAACTTATGCCTTTAAACATTAATTCAAAGCATGTTTGGTTAAGTGGTAGGATCTTAAATAAGCCCGTTTAAATCCAAATAAATGATTATGAAATATGTTTGTTTTGTTTTGATAATTTTTTATAAAATCCTGATCAATCATGATTTTACTCTTCTACTGTACTTTTAGGATAAACAATAAGGAGTAGTTTATGCATTTGAAAAATCCCAATCAATCTTTAGCAATTAAATTTTCTCCAATCTACCTTCCTACATTCTTCCAAAAATCTCTCCTCAAATATTCACTTTATGCCCTTTTTAGTAATTATACATTTATAAGTGATTTTAATAAATAAAAACCAAATATAATCACAATTCTTAAAATCACTTATAAAAAAATCTAAACAGAAATTATAATTAACCAGTGTCACTTATAAAATTCACGATTATCTAAAATCATAGTTATTCATTGCTAATTCAAACGAGCACTCAATATATTTTACAATTCATAATTTATTTATAACCTATGGAAAGTAATTATAATTTATAAACTCAATATATTCCCATTTACCTCTTTGAGACTAAAACCCGATGATTATTTCAATTTTTATTATTTTATTTCGTTTTATTATATATAATATTCAGTTTTCTTTTGGTCCTTGAGAATTTTTGCTTCCAGCTTCCTTAATCCCATGAGATCAGATCAAATACTATAGGCCTCATGAAAATATCAAGGTTACAAAAGTAATCATACATATATGTATATATGTATGTGAACGAAACTTCAAGAGAAATTAAACCGGACTCTAGACCATTGGCGCAGCAGTATATGTATCTGCTGGCCGGGGTGGGAGAAGAAGCAGGGCAAGTGAGAGCAGCAATCTATAATCTTGAACCGGCGGAGAAGGCGGTGGATGTGTGTGTGAGGTTGCTTTTGTGGACCGGACAAGACGGGGGTTCCGGTGTGGCAGCTGGGGTTGGGCGGCGAACGGCTATGGGCCGACATGAACCGCCTGCTCTCCTTCCTCTTCCATCAACAAGTCCTCGACGAGCAGTTCCTGCAACTTCACCGACTCCAAGACCACTCCTCTCCCTACTTCGTCTCCGAAGTTTTCTCCATCTATTTCCGCGAGTCCGAGAGACTCCTCTCCTCTCTTCGATCTCTCCTGTATATCTCTCTCTATTCATTCTCTTCATTCATATCCACATATATATTCTGATCGTTTCCATTAATTCTGCAGAATGGATAAGGAGTCATCAGACTTGAAGAAAATGGGAATCCATTTGAATCAGTTGATGGGTAGCAGTTCCAGCATCGGTGCCAAGAGAATCAGAAACGTCTGTGTTGCATTCCGCGCTTCTATTCGCCTCAACAATCGCCCTGGGTCTCTTACATGTTCCTTCTCCAATTCTACAATATATCCACTTCACATCATCAGTTCTTCTTCAAGCTTATAGGCTTATTTTTTGGGATTGGGTTATTATTTTATACTTATATCCATATCAACATGCACCATGCATATTCAGTAAACACAAAGCAGATAACGGAGTGTTTCTTGCTGCTTCACACGATGGGTTTGATAATTTCAGATGCTTGAGAGCTTTGGAGATGCTGGAGCAGGAGTATTGCTATCTCAAGAACAAGCTACACGAGTTATTCCGAGTACGTACTATCTCATTAATGGAGCTATCTGTTTACTTGATGAAGATCATAAATACCCATTATTTCTATAATTAATAACAGATACTGATCACAAGTTATGACCTATGCTGCATTATTATTGTGATTATTAATGCAGATGGAGCAGCAACGCGTTTTGGCAGCAGGAGTGAGATACCCAGCAGCAGGTGAAGACTAATTACATTACAGGATTAAGTTAATTAAAGCGATACGTAGTGAATGATCAGTGAAGAGATCGATCGCAGTAATTACGCCTGTGAGACGGGTGCTTTTAATGAGGAGCCTTAGGTTTTAGGATTTAGTGGCTTTCTCTTTGGGAGGAAGCAGAGCGGTGACCAACTTTGTACTTGGTGATAGTGGGAATAGGAAAAAGAAGAGGGGTCGAGTATCTGGCATTTGGATTCTGATGTACGAATGCGTGGTGGCGTCGTCTTCTTCTTCATCGCTGGCTCACTTTTTGAATGAAACAGAATCAAATCTTGTCGAAGTTGTAGTTCGTACCTGCCAGTGCCTTTGATTTCATAGTTTTACTCTCCCAAAAGTGGCTCGTAAGTAAACTTACCACGCTCTCTTGGTGAATTTAACAGTGCTTGGGAGTGTTTACGTAAAGTAACGATTTCAAAAATGTTTTTATAATTTACAAAATAAACAAATGAAAAAATTTGTCTCATATGAAAAAAATATTTTTGAGAGTTGTCAAACATTTTTTTTTGTTAATGTCATTTTTAGTTAAATAAATTTAACTTGGTCATAGAAATTTGAAACTCAATTTACTTTGGGTCCATTAAATTTGGAACCAAAGATTTAGTTTTTGGAATAATTTTTTTAAAGATCAAAAATAAAATGAGAAAAAAATTTAAAAACCAAAACTAAAATAAAATAGAATTCTAAAGACTAAAATTACGTGTTTCAAATTTTAGAGTCCAACACCAAAATTAGGTTAATTTCGTGAACTAAAAGTGATATTAACTTTTTTTTTTTGGTTTGATGATACATGTGCTCCATTTTTTTCGAGTTAAAAGTATACATTTGAATATTTGATTACTTATATATTTTAATTTAATCTTTTAATTTAAGAAAGTACGTTTTTAGTTATTTAATTTTAAAATTAATAATGATATTTTCGTAACTAATTTTTTCTTCATCTTTCAACATTGAAAATCTTTTAAAAAATTCAGATTTGTAGTATTAATCTTCTTATAAAATGCTTAGTTGTCATCATTCTAGACAATAATTTGATTTCATGACTCTCTCAAAACCGGCGTGGTTTAAAGAAGAGTTGGATCATTTTCATACACACACATATAGATCATTATATTAACTACGAAAAGCATTAAAAAATTCACATATTCCGCGACTAGGAAAAGTTAAATTGAGACCCAAACATTTTTTTATTGGACGTAATTAACTAATTAATACTATCTCTAATTTAAATTATAAGAGCTCCTCATCTAAAACCACCAGTTTGGCATACATCTAATGTGGCATACATATTTTAAAGGCACACAAGTCCCTAATTATTGTAGAATAGATCCATCTTGTCAACAAGTTTAATAGGGGAACAATAATAAAGACAAGATACTCTTCACAAAATTCAAATGGAATAGCTAAGTTTGAAAGAAAAATACGTGCCATTGAAGCAAGCTAATAGTTTGTTTGAAGCAGCTATATATTAAGTGTTTATAAATACATTTATTATAGGTCACTATAAAATTCTTCTTGTATATTTATTTTTTATTCATAAATTATAATTAAAAAAATTATTTTTAAAGAGTTTTATGAATGTAGTATTTCATTGAGATCTCAGTCAAGAGAAGGGTCCAAAACAATGAAAAGATCTAACATTTACAGAAAGAGGGAGCATCTGTGGCAGAGGAATCTCGAGTGTTTGATGGTCAAATCTTTGAGGAAAACGGAGCAAGTGAATATATGAATATATAAGCATATAATATGTGATCAGTGAGATTGCAAGTGTTCGTAAATGATGCCACTTAGATACTGCCACATTTACTGGATCCTGCCAAGTCTAGTCTAATCCATCTACAGTACCATTTTCTCTCTGGACAGGAAACAAAATTAGCCTCCATTTTATTGTTGGCTTTTTCATTTCCCATTTATTATTTTATTAAAAAAAATCAAACTTGAGATTTCAGATGTGATTGGTGTTGGGGTAATTTTATAAAATTGTTAATATATGAATTAATTCAACTAATTATTCAGTAAGTTATGTAATTAAGCATGGAGAAAATTGGTCAATAATCCCTATTTAAAAAATTAATTATGAAAGGATATTTGAAATTTATTTTAAAACTCACGTGCGGTTTATTTTTAATAAGCGCATCTTTAATTGTGTATAACACATTTTTAATCACATATAAAACATAAAACATTTTCAGGATGTGCCTGTCTCAAAAGACCTCAGATCTTAGACATCTTTATATAATTAATCTTCTAATAAGACCAATTTTTCTTAAGCATATTAGTTTAATTTAATCAATTAGAAACTTCAAAACATATTAGCTCTTTTCGGCTTTTGTATGGAGTGTGATAGGTTATCACACAAGTGAATTAGTCTTGGGTAGAGGTCCATCCTACAACCCTTATATGAGAGAAATAATCTACTTATTTCTCTCAGGGTGCGGCCATTATGAGGATTTTATATTTTAGGTTCGTGTCTCTCTTATATTAGATGTTTTCAGGCATTTTGTTGGCTTTTGTTGTTTTTTTTTTATTGTTTGAATCCTTTTTCTTTGTAATGAATATTTTCCCTATTGGTGAAACTGGAAAATGATTATAAAACAAAATGATAGTGAAAAACTTGAGAACAGAGGTATTTTGAAATGCCTCATTTTAGTTCAGAATTTCCTTTCTCCCTCTCTATTCTTCCTCTTTGCCAGCTTCGAACGTGGCACCTCAAGTCACCAACAACCTGTGACTCACCATGAGGACCGATGCGCCAGCGATGTTTAAGTGTCCACATTATCTAGGATCCATTTAAAATAACTTATAAGTAATTTTTTAATCGCAATTTAGTAAAATATGAAATAAATATGTGATAATACTTTTATCGTTACTTATATAAAATTGTTATAAATAAAGAAGAAATAGAGAGAAGAATCATACAGAGAAAGAGATGATCAACAAGAGAGAGTATTTCTCATTCCATTCAAATGTGTTATGTACATTATACATGGTCTCTATTTATAGGCACAGCTTTACACCTTTGGTAGAATCTACAGATTACATAATAATATGAGATAATTGTGGGATACAGAGATAATAGGAAATATTAGAGATTATAGGAGATATTAGAGATTATAGGAGATAATAGGAGATATATGGACATCCACAAAGATATTATTATATTCATAACACTCCCCCTTGGATGTCCAATATATATGAATGTGTCTCGTTAAAAAACTTAAACTAGGAAAAACCCTGTGGGACAAAAACCTTGCGAAAGAAAAAGAGTACATCATTCATTGACACACTATGTAATGCCGCCTCATTAAAAACCTTGCTAGGAAAACCTAGTGGGACAAAACCATAGATAAGAAAAAAAGAATACAGCATGTATCAACTCCCCCTTTTGGCAACATCAGTTGACATCTTTGAGCCTGCAAAGTCTAATAGAACGAACAACCCTTCCAAATATCGTAATGAGATAAAAACGTCAAATATGAATTTCATGATCTTTTGAAAATCATGAGATGAATAATCCTTTTATGGTTTATCTACACATGGATCATACTATGATCTCTTGATATAAGGATCAAACAAGAATACTATATTTATATAGCCATTAAGATTAGTCTTGGGTACTTTCAGATAAAATAATATTACCTCCATGGTATTTTTAAAGTAATGAAGAATATTTTTAACTTCATTCCAACATCTTCATGTTGATAAAGAACTATATCATACTAATCAGCAAATAATAGCTCAAATTCTGTATAGCTAGATAGATATATAAATGCTTCAGTGACACTAAGATATGGTACTTCTGGACCAAGTGTTTATTAATTACCTTCTGGAGGTCTAAATCGATCTTTAGTCCATATCTAAAGATTTTGCAACTACTAAAACATATACTGGATGTTGCTTATCCACATAATGAATATGACTTATCCATATGTATTCTTTCGAAAGCTTTCATTTCAAACTTTTTCTTTAAGTAATTCGCAACTTTTGAAAACTCATCAGGAGTTTTGATACTATCATCATAAATAATACTGATAACAAATTCATTTTGAATCTTTTCACAAAAAGACAAGTTGGAATATGTTTATATCATTCCTTCAATCGATATTAACCACATATGTCTCATATAGAGACTTACTTGAATAGTATCCTTGAGAACATAATTGTATGCTTCTAGAAACTTAAATCCTTCAAGGATCTGAATCCTTCAGGGATTCATATAAAATTTCACTATAAAGTGAGTTATACGTTATAGTTATATATTTCTAAGACGCACATGAAAAAAATTTCATTTATTACCAAACTACCAGATTGATAAGACATGTAATTTAATCCACCACAAGACTTTATTTCTCTTTATATTGTACAAATGCCTATTTACATAATACTAGCATTACATTTCAAGTGCATAGGCCAAGGATACACAAATCCCTGTTACATTGCATCTTTTCTTTTCTGTTGGCCAACTATTTTTGTGTATGTATCTCATGACAGATTTATATATAAGATCCTCATTTGATCACATGATATCATCAATAAAATTATTGTCGACAATTTTATTCCTTTATCGGTCCCCTTTTCTTTTATAACATAACATATTGAGATCTCTTTATTGCTTTTAGACACTTAAACCTCTTCAAGGGTCAAACAATTGTGTCTTAATCTCTTTTGCAATTCATGCCTCCTTAGTATGATCATCATGATCATTTGCTTCTTTTTCTCTTCTTTTGAAACCGATCATAATCTCATGCTTTTAGCATGTCTTTAAGAATAGAAGCACTTTTAGCTGGAATATAAGAACTAAGAATTCTCATTTTGATCAGTAATTACATCTGTCAGATATTAATAATATTTTATGAATGCAATACTTTGTGAACTTCTAGTTCATACTACTATATTTGATGATCTACATTTGATAGTAAAAATAGATTTTATGTATTCTCTTTTCCAGCTACATATTTTCTCCCCCTCATATTGGAAACATATAATGTAGATCTCCTAAATCCATAAATCTCCTTTAGAAACATTATTTTGTTTCATTTAAAGACAGGCAAGAATAAGGAGATTTTATCCAACAGTGATCCCAACTTACTTTTAATATCTATCTATATGCGTTATTACAGTGGAATAATAGATATCACACATTTTAAGATGAAAAATGTCTGACTCCTTACCAAAAGCCAATTATAATAGGAGAATTCACAATACATTGTTGGCTTGATGCATTTATGTGCAAAAATATATAAAATCAATTATCTCAACACTCAAATGGGAATTCTGTTCTCATAAACTTTGATCTAGCTACTTATAGAGGTT